TCTCTCTCTCTCTCATTCTCGCTCTCTCAAATAAATAAATAAATCTTAAAAAAAAAAAAAAAGAAAGAAATGCAAGCCTGAAAGAATACTGGCAGTGTCATCTTTGGAATACATCTTCCAATCTACTTTTTTAAAACAAACCTCTCAAAGGTAGGGGAAGAGCTTCACTTTGACCTCTAATAATTTCCCCTGAAATAGCACCTCCCTCCTGCAGAACTTAAAGCACTTCTCTTAATCTTCACCACATCTCTGGGCAAGAGAAGTAGGTTAACAGTTCTATTTTCTAAGCAGGGAGAGGGGATGCTTGAGATCCTTTAATAAACTCTTGCAAAGACAACCTGGTCTCTTCTCAAAGCTGAACCTGGTCAACTCAAAGTTGAACCTGAAGTTTGCAACCTTTTGGTACATGATTCCAGGACCCTAACTAAGACAGGCCCAAGGGACTTTCAGTCAAGAACATATACCCATAAATATAAGTCATGTAAGACCCTGGCCAAATTAAAATATTTGGTAAACCACTCATTAAACAAATAATGTATTAAAGAACTGCAGAGCGTAAAGGATCTTCAAGTAATAAGGTGGCGCAGTGGCAGTCCCAGGCTTCCATTTGGGTCATGTCTCAATGGGGAAATGGAGACAGAAAGGGCCAGGATGGATTCTTGAGACAAGAACAGCTCTGTTAATCATAAGGAATAGTCTAAGCAGAACATCCCTAAGAGGGCAAATTCCAGGTTCACTAACTGTTTCTACAACTCCCTTCTCCGTCAGACATTCAGCTTGAGCTCCCCTCATGACAACTCTCCAGCAGAGCAGAGCAGAACCCATTAGGGTGCTCTGCCATGATTCCTTCACCAACATTATCAGCTCCCACCTCTAACAGATAGGTAAGCTGTTCAAAGGCCCAGAGATATTTTATTTTAGCCATTTTTTTCTCCCAAGGCAAAATTTTAAAAACTTTTGTTCTTCCCAAAAAGGGTTGTCTCTTTTTCAGATACGAACACTCCAAAAAGAGAAGTTTCTACGCATTTCTGAAATTTGACCACTCTGAAGAATAAAGGCTGGGATTCATTTCTTTAACAAATATTTATTAAATGCCAACTATGTATAAGGCCTGTGCTGGCAACTGGGGACATAAATGTAAGACAAATGCTGCTTTGCTATCAAAGGGCTTAACAGTCTAGGACATAGCTGCCCAATTAAAATGAAATGCAAACCACAGATGTAATTTTAAATTTTTTAGGGGCCACATTTTAAAAAGTGAAAAGAAGCAGGTGAAATTAATTTTAATATTTTTAATCCCATATATTTAAAATATTATCATTTTAACATGTAATCAGCATTTTAAAAATTACTAATGTGATATTTTACTTTTTTTTCATACTAAGTAAGTCTCTGGAGTTTGGCATATTACTTTACATTCACAGTGTGTCTCGACCCAGACCCAGCCCCAGCCCCATTTCGTGTGCCCAACTGCCATACACAGCTCGCGGCTACCATACTGGCTACCACAGGTCTCCACAGGTCTAGAGGACTTTCATCCAAGGGCTTTCTGTCCCCTGATAAAGCCAAAATGGAACCGTCTTTCCAGCAACACTACATAAAATATGGACTCATAGAAAGCTGAAGTCCTATTTGTGAAAGGTCCCCACAAAAAAATGATAAAGCTAACAATACCCTGACCTCTACATTATATTTACCAATATTCGCTACTGAGAGAGTGATCAGTTACACAAAACAAAGCAAGAATACACAAGTGGGGAAGAATCTCAGAGCTGTCAAACCGATTCCACTACAGAAGAGCCAAAGGGCTCTGGATTCAGGAAGGGAATGTAACACTCCAGCCTGTCAGAGAGGTCAACAGCTCAGGCATGAGCTCTCCTTGTGTCTTACAAAACCAATCCCAAAAGGATTAAGCCATTCTTACCAGTCACCTTTGGAGATTAATTTGTTTTGGTATCTGAAAGGTGTTTGGAATCCCTCAAGATGAAGGAATGACAAAAGAAACTGTTCCTCATAAAGTCATTTCTTTGTTTCTGCTGCCCACAAGACTAGAGAAAAAACGATTAACTCTTAACTTCTGATGTACCAGAACATCAGCCTTTAACGATTTAAAAAATCTTCTACATTCCCTGCCTTACTCCCAATAGGTGGTGAGCGGTATAAATGCTCACTAAGCATTTGCCACCATCCAACCACACAGCTGGTTGCCTTTCTAGGTTACATAACGGATTTCCACTTGTTCAAAGCTTATGGTAAGCTTCAAGATTATATATATGAGAAGCTTTCACTTTCCAAAGATCTTGA